GAAATCCAAGTCCTCCACGTTATGGTCTCTACATTCAATGCTTAAATCAACTATCATTCAGCTCCATTTTCCATTATTAATCATGGAACTTTAAATATACATATTTATAAATAAATAAAAAAATTAGTAAATTTTTGCGTTCATATGATTGGAAAGAGTACAGTGTTATACTCGCCGTCGGCTCGTTTCGTAAATTGTCATCTGGTGAAAAATGAGCAATTTTCTCACTCGTGTGACAATGTACATACGTACTATTGATGTGTTCTTTTACCATTTGCGGACATTCCCCTATCAGTTTATTTTGTTCTAGTCGTAAAAGAAAATAAAAACCAATTTAATTAAGGATTCTAAAAAATGGAATTTAGTCTAGTGCTTAATAACAAAACAACAATCTATTTCAGTATATGTACACATTAAATCATTATTTACAAATTTACAATACAGATTAGGTACAGATTGATTACATTTTTTAGATAGATAGGTTTATCGAAGTCCTTAGTTGGAGTAATTACCGTTACATTACTAGTAATAAACTTATAAACTACAATACTTGTATATATTTCCACTACAAAGTAAAAATATCCCTCACATGTCATGATACTTTTTTTAATAAACCGACAAAATTATGATTAAGTAAGAAAATACGACAAGGTTGCAGTCCCTCTTCGGTATTTTTGCTCCAATTCAGATTTTGACACTTTCTATCAACAACTATTCCCAAAAGTAAAGCTGCTTCAATTACGTGCTTTGGTTTTGTTAAGTGTTTTTTCACCTGCGTACCAATTGTCAAGAAGAAAGATAGTTTCGTAGTTGCCATGCTTGAGCATCTTCAGTATTTGGTCACAGTAAATTTCCCGCTTCCTCTCTGAATCAAACTTTGTCAGTTTGTCAAAAGAGTATGTTTTTGGGAAATCGTTGTGAAATGCTTAAAACACTATGAACAAATTTAAACCACAACCACGACTTGGTACAAAATGTTCATTTTTGTAATGCAAACCCAGTGGATCTATATAGTGAGAAAAATATTCGACAATGGAAAACAGCCTTGTCGTCGTTTTTTGCTAATTCTGAGTACAAGTACTTAATTGAAAGGTATCATGGCACTTTACATTTCAAAATTTTTAATTATTTTGTGCTCGAAGCGCCGAACAGATGCAAATACAAAAACGCGTGTTGAATGCGTGAACAACGAATCTAGGGCTGACGTTTGTTAGACATGAATGCTGCATCCGTTGAGCGATCTTGACAAAAAAAGACACACACAGACGAAATAAATTACACATTAGAGCAACCATTTACAACACTACTTCCAAATAATAAAGTTATTATCAAACTCATATTAGAACTAGAATTAATTGTGCGATGAAAAACTATCTCAATCAAAGTGAATGTGTTATTGATATGTTAAATGATGTTACCTGTGAACGGTTAGGCCATATAAATATTATGATTCTAGTTAACATGATTTTCTATAGCATCATTTGTTTTTTCAGATTAGCACAAAAATTCATAAAAATGCAAAATGTGCACCCGTTACGTGAAATATGCAGCAGAAGGCAAATATATGCAAATATGCAATTTTTTATAACTGTATTCATTTTTAATTAACATAATTCGTTCACATATTAAATATCAACACTAACGAATATGCAAATTTCATAAAATCCGCTCTCTAGTGATGACTAATTTTATTGTTGCATTTCGGAACATGGTCTTAATTTATAAACAAATAGTGCATAAACCTCAAGTTTCATGCTACTAAATTTATTTATTAATTGAAAAAACTCAATGTCTTTACCTCCTTTACCACCTCTCTAATTATTTGCCAGTGGCGGCTCGTGACCTTTTCAAATGGGGGGACACAATTTGATTGATGAGTTAAATATGAAGATATTAAACAGGTTGTTAAGTTGTTATTACCAATTAATATAATAGACGAAATTGTGTAACGGAAATAAATACAAAAATACATTCAATAAAAGTAAAAAAGTATTTCTCCACATACCTTTTTGCTTTCGATCAAAATTTTACGTTGATGGTATGATGATGAAACGTCTGATTTTTACACAGAATTTAAGAATTTCTAAAAATACAAGTCACAGTGCATACACAATAATAAATATTAAAGTTTTTATTTTACACTGTCTTTCACTTATCACTAGAATGTAGTTTTATTTATAATTAAAGTCTAATCTTCTGTTTTTCTTATTCACAAAAATATTTAACACTTTATTGTCAAAATTTTCAATTGTTTGCGTTAATTGTTTTTCAACTGATAACATCGCGAGTGCATTTAATCTGTCCTGAGTCATAGTCGTTCTTAGGAAATACTTGATTCTCTTTAGGGTTGAAAAACATCTCTCACATTCGCATGTAGTCATTGCTGTAGTACAAAGGATATCTAAAATTTTATAAGTTTCAGAAAAAGCCTCTCGCAAATTATTGCCTTCCAAAAATTTTAAAAAAGGCAAAACACCATTACACTGATTGTCATCTCTGCTATAAATAACAGTCAACTCGGTTTTTAATTTCTCTTTATCATTAAAAGTATATGCTTCAAGAGTACTATTAAAACTCTGTTCGGGGAAGTAGTTACTCTTTATATGTAATAAACAAATCTGGGAAAAATAATCTAGCAGCAGATAAATGCCCGGTAAAATCATATCTGTCATTTATTTGTGTAAGGATTACATCACAATATTCTTTAAGAATAATTTTATTATTTTCAGATATGCCATCTATTTTACGACGCTTTAATGGAAAAGGTTCACCGTCATTCGCCATTTCCATTTCTTTACTTAAGGTGTCAATTTTATTTTCTCTAATATCTGTAATCTGTTTCTCAAAACCTTTTAAACATTTTTGAACGTATAAGCTGCTAGCCCCTCGAACTTGCATTTGGTTGAAAAGTACATCCACATGTGGTGCAATATAATGAATTCTCTATAAGAAAAAATTAAAATCTGCACAATTTAAAATTCTCAATAAACCAGTTGCTTCACTAACTGTTTTTGAATCATTTTCTGTAATTATAACTTGTTCTAAGCACTCGTGGATCAATCCTTTCTTTTCGTGTATTGTATTGATGATCCTTGTTTTAAAATTCCATCTTCTTGGAGTTGCTTTGGGAAGTCTCTTCTTTACTATTTCATCCAAAATTGCCGTTCGTTTTGTGGATCTACAAAAAAATGCAGCAAAAGATTGCACTTCAACAAAAAATATCTTCAATTTTTACTTCCCGAGCGTAAGCAAAGGAAGTATTGTAATCGAGTCCGTCGGCCGACTCCCTACTTTTACGTTTTCTCGACCTTTCATGACCCCTAGAAGACGAAGAAATAGGTCTCCCATTTCCGTCTGTCTGTCCGTCCGTCTGTCCGTCTGTCCGTCTGTCCGTCTGTCCGTCTGTCCGTCTGTCTGCCGTCCCGGATTTTTATTAGACAGATAATCTCCGAAAGTACTGGACCGATTGTTGTGAAATTTTGCACTTATATTAGGAATATCATGTAGATGGTAAAACGCTAACCAAAATTTGTCTAATCATCCCCACCACTAATACGGTGACGTCACTTCAAAATTGTACATAGTAAATGGGTCTTAAATTGTATAAAATAACATAGTCCTACACATGTAGTTTACGACTCCGGATTCAGTTTTTACCCGAAACGTCCAGATTTTTGGAAAAAAAATAAAAATTATAAAACAACATTTTGCAATTTAATTTTGAATCTGCTAACCTGAATGTTTTGAAATGTTGTAATATTGGGGGGGCACGTGCCCTTGTGCCCCCCGGCACCGGCCGCCCCTGTTAATTCTTTTAATGGCCTTCAAAATATCACAGTCATTTATAGAGATCATATTCAAGATATTACTACTATCACAGTCTAATTTAATATCTAAAGATGGACAACAGTATTTATACAATATTTACAGGACTTTTCAAACGTATCACAGCATTTAATACTACAAATATGGCTGTCATTATCACAGTTAAACATGCTTGAAAAGTGGGTGCCAAACGAATTAACAATGTCCTGCTGACATGTTATAGTATTTAACATTACTAGCATGGTAAAAGTAATTCAATTATTCGAAAATTTTCTATTAAAAAGATCTTGTGAAAACACATGCTGTCCAAATCTGTGTAGAAATGAAATGAAACACCTAGGTAATCATTAAAAATTCCGATAATATGAGTGACTACTGTCTATATCTATGGGATTATAGAGAAAGGACAAACAATTAAACTAGTTTAACATTGTTGGTCTAAAGAATATAGTCAGTATTATGTACTTAAATTTTGGTGATTTTCTTGCTGCACCTATTTGTTTTCCAATCGGTGATTAATACGTAATTAACTGTTGTTTTCATTCAATTAAAAAACAAATGTAGGTAAGTGTTGCTCAATCTAATATATGTATAACATATGTTTGCTTAAACTGTTATTAATTTTAACATTAATCGTTTATTAACTGCGATATTATATTTTTCTATTGTTTATTTTCTAAATAAATATTTTGTGAATTTTTGTTGTACTTTTTGTTTTTAATTCGTTATAAATTCTAAAGATCTCCCACACTGAATTTCATAGTGGCACCAACACTGATAAGCGAATAACAGGGGTGCCCTATATGATATGTCCGTGGCGTTTATCCTCAACAAGGGTACGATCATAATATGTTGGTACTTAGGGGTTAATTATAATTCTTTAAATACTCGTATTATTAATGTAATCCAGATTTTAATTAAGCTTTTGAATCACAAAATTGATTGTACCCAACTGTTAGACCAAATTTCACTATTCCACGGTTAAACTCTCGTAGATTTTTAACTTTTTATTGTCACAAGCCGAAATCCAATGTTTTAAAAAGATCTCCTATTTTCGTTATGTGTAATATGTTCAATTTATATGTCAAAAATTGTGATAATAATTTCCACTCCATGAAACAGTTTTATGACGCTATTGTAAACTCATTAGGAATATACTCAATTAACAACACCAATAAAAAGTGCAGTGTATTCTAATGTTTAATAACAAACAACAATCTATTTCAGTACGTGTACAGATTAACTCATTATTTACATATTTGCAATATAGGTACAGATGGATTACACTCTTTAGGTACCTACATACGTATATCAAAGTCTTTGGTTGGAGTAATCAACGTTACATTATTAGTAATCCTCTTATAAACTGCAATATATGTACATATTTCAACTACAAAGTAAAAATATCGCTCACATGTCATGATACTTTTTTTTTCATAAACTGACAAAACTATGATTAAATAAGAAAATACGACAAGGTTGCAGTCCGTCTTCGGTATTTTTGCTTCAATTCCGATTTTTACATTTTCCATCACAACTAGTCCCCAAAAGGAAACCTTCTTCAATTACGTGTTTTCGTTTTATTAAGTGTTTTTTCACTTGTGTACCAATTGTCAAGAAAAAACATAGTTTCGTAGTTGCTATACTCGGAGCATCTTCAGTATTTGGTCACAGTAAATTTCCCGCTTACCCTCTGAATCAAACTTTGACAGTTTGTCAGAAGAGTATGTTTTTGGGAAATCGTTGTGACATGCTTAAAACACTATGAAGAAATTTTAACCACAAACCACTTCGACGCTCGAAGAGAACCACGGCTTGGCACAAAATGTTCATTTTAATAATGCAAGACGAGTGGATATATAGAGAAAAATATTCGACGATGGAAAACAACCTTGACGTCATTTCTTGCTAATCTTGAATATAAGTAGTTAAAAGGTATCGTGGCACTTTACATTTCAAAATTTTTAAATATTTTGTACTCGAAGCGCCGAACGGATGCAAATATATAAACGCCTCTTGAATGCATGAACAACGGATCTAGCGTTGCCATTTGTTAGATGAAACGTATCCTGAAATGTTAATAGCATCACGTGGGCTTTAGCACGGGTAGTTCATGCTTGGATCTTTAACATGAATGCTGCATCCGTTGAGCGATTCTGACAAAAAAGACACACACACACGAAATAAATTACACATTGGAGCAACCATTTACAACACTAAGGTATTTGTAAATAATAAAATTATTGTGGAACTACATATTAGAACTAGAATTAATTGTGCGATGGAAAACTATCTCAATCAAAGTGAATGCGTTATTAATTTGTTAAATGATGTTACCTGTGAACTGTTTGGCCATATAAATATTATGACTCTAGTTAGATGATTTTCTATCACACCATACTGTTTTCTACGCAGTGATTTCGGAATGTATGAACAAATTGTAGCTTCTACGATGACAAGATGATCAGATGAAGTTCCGGCTGAGGGTGCAGGAATTTCGTCTAAATTCTCTGGTTTGGAATTCATTTAGCCTAAGTTTTGCTGCAATTTTAAATATTTTGTGATACTGTGAATTTTAAAGTTGTAAAAGTTACCTTAAAACGCTCTGCTGTTGATATTGTCCAGGTCAGTTAGTGGTATTAAACCCATTTGTTAAAACTTGATTCCGCCTAAGATATATTTTGTGAAGATACGAAATTACAACACCAGTTGCTGTTTTTAAATTCGTTGTTCTGGTGGGTAGGAAAAGTCTATAATACAAAATATGATGAATAAAGATAAGTACTTTGATAGAGAAATTTACCTCTTTTAAATTAGTTGATATTAAATGTTATTTTATAAGTTTTCTAGAATCTAATCTGAAGTGAAAGTATTTTTCAAATAATGATAACAGAAGTTTTGGTTCCAACTTTTTTAAAAATTATGGAAACACCTGCACTGAAATGTTAAGTCAAATTTATAAAGTTAATTTCAAAATATTTTTGCTTACCTTAGTTTATGTGTTTTGTTTGCATTTTTCAAAATGGATAGTAGGACGTACGGTAGTTTTTGCTGCAGTTCTCTTCGTATTGTTGTGAAGGCCTCACGAAAAACATTTGTACTGAAATTTCATAGTTACATAACGCCAAATATATTTAGATGATGACTCACCTAAAGTAAAAGTTGGAGCTTAGCTGAGTTCGGTCGAAAATATAGTTGAAAATTTTTCATCAAAAAATTGACTGATTGAGTTTGTATTTAGGTATGTGGCTATCAATTAATTAAATATTTGGAACACAATCAAAATAATTTATCGAAAGTTCAAATTTTGTGTGAATAGAATAAAATAAATTTCATGAAAGTTAAAAAATGCGAAAATGGCACTTCAGAAGAAACTATAAAGAAAATATTTATAAAAGAAGTCGTGCTGGTGAATTAGTTTATTCAATGGAAAGATGTAGCCATAAAAAAGTGCCTTATTTAGCTTGTAGCTATATTTTTCATACATGTGAAAATTTTCTGAATCTCAAAAATAAGTTTAAATATAAGAATAGATAGATAAATAAATTAATAAACACAATACAAAATAAATCTTCACAATATCTGAAGACAGATGAAGGATATAGGTATGTATACAAAAATGTTCATCATAAAATACTATTTTTGTTTTGATTTTCGTCTTTCGTCAATTGTGTTCCACTAATTGTCAAATCTATTTCCTACTTTTATTAAATAGTGCGCTATTTTTCTCAAATTATTTTACTTTGTGTCAACACAATTTCGTTGGGTTGATGAACACTGTGTTTAACTCTTATGGAAATTAAAATTATATTGTTAGAGGAAAATCATCAACTAGAAATAAGCTTATCTACCATAAAGAGAGCTATTAAGTACTTTAACTAATCATTTTTTTTTTACTAATGAATTTGGAACATAGGTACAATCTAGGAGGTCGTACGGAAGATCACCAAGCAACTGTAGCGCAAACAAAGTTAAAGCTCAGCTGAGAGGTCGTAATTACTCGATTGAGAATTTTTAAAAACCCTATTGAATCACTTTACAAGAAGATAATGTTAGGGGCGCACGGACATAATTTAATGAACAATGTAAGTACGACTTCACAGAACTGAAGAAATTCAACAATTGTTACGAACCCATGGAGATTTTCCTGTATTTCTACCTCCATATAGGCTTTTCTTAACCCAGTTGCACAAGACTTGGTCGAAGAATAGAAGTGACGTACGCAACCATATTTGAAATCTACAGATCAAACCCAATTGGGGCACTATTTAATCAGTGGAAAGTGATTATTAAAAGAAATCAGCCTAGAACGAAGACGAGTTATATATCCAATATCCAAGTCCATAATGCTTCTGAGGTAATAATTTGTGGGGACTGCCTCAACAGAAATGAAATTTTGAATTAAAATAATTTGTTATAGGTACTTCATGATTATAGACAGACACATTTATAAAAATATATTACTTATGCTTGAGCCCTTGTAGCTAAAATATAAAATTTTGACACAGGGAATTTCTTTTGGCATATGATATCAAAATTGCAAATACGGGAAAAAAATGTGTCAAATGGTGAAACATATTCGACGAATAATGAAAACCAAAAGAAAAACACTGTATTACGAAAAAATAAGGTAGGAATAAATTTTAACCTTCACCAAATTAGGTAAAATTGGTCCAAGGTGTCAAAACAGAACATTCCTCGCTCCTGAAGCACAGTCCAACAAATTTAGTTTTTTATTGAATTCTGTTTCCTTTACCATAAATCCTACACTTAAAGTAATAATATCTCTCAAGTGTTAAGGTAACATTGTTTTTTTATAATAAATTTTTTTAGCAAAATACTTATAATAACAGTACTGCATTCTGAAATTTTCCGAATTATAAGGTGAACCGTCCGTGATTTGATCAACAAAATAATAAAAAAAACATGTGGCGGCGGATGGTAATAGAATATTGAAAGTCTGTCCCGGCGAGGAAGAGTTTTGGATCGCCGTTGAACCAATCATTCGACAGATTTTTGGTGCCTATTCGAGTTAAACCATCATTATTCAGTTTAATAAATTTTGTCGTGACCGAACGAGGAAGCTGCTTAAAGCAATGTGTGACGAAAAATTTTACCAACGCGACTGATTTCGGCAGGGCCGCCGTAAGCGGGGGTGCAAGGCGTGCACCGCACGCGGGCGCTGCCAAAGGGGGGCGGCAAATTGGCACGCAAAGCAGCACTTTTCAAAATTCCCAAAATAATATAAAAAAATGTACAACTCGAAAAAAGGGTTTATTGAGACTTTAGGAGAAAGCAAAGAAAGAAATATTGTTTAGGTCATCCAGTCATCGATAAATCAATAAACATCTGTTTTTTATAGTGCATGGTGAACAAACTTGTAGATCGCTAAAGCATAAAGGAATAAGTTTCCAGAATTGCGGGTGTTGTTTGTTGGAACGTCAAGGGGGATGTTAGCAATAAATGAAATTATTTTAGTAATTCACAGAAAGGTGTTAAAGAACATTGCTCCAAAAATTAGTTGGTGTCCGAGCTGGCAAATGCAACATAGTAGTTATTTGGACTTGTAGTTTGGACGATAAATTTATTTTATTTATACGTACCTATCACATTTGCAAAATCTTTGATGATTTGCTGGAAATATCCGAAGATACTTCTTCATGGCAGTTATTTGTTCAACGCTAATTTGATTTGATAAGTATTCTGAATCAAATCAACATCTTAACTAAAATGATGCAGAATCCTAACATCAACATCAAAGTATATATCAATGTATTTAAAGATGTAGTAGGTTACTTTACCAAATATCGTTCAGATGAAAGTTTTGCTAAAATTATAACTGAAACAGACAAACTTGCCTATGAAATTAATGTTGAACTATTTTTTCCGCCAATCCAAACCGTGCGTCCAAGAAGAAAACCGAAACATTTTGATCATGAGCAGAATTACGAAGTTGTAGATCCAAAAATTAATTTTAAAATATTTTTTTTTACCGAATTCTGAACCAAACTTTGTCTTCTTTAAATAATAGATTTGAGGAACTAAACACATATGATAATGTATTTGGGTTTTTCAATAATGTGTTTAAGTCCTTAGAAGACATGTTAAAAAACTGTAAAGATTTACATTTAAAACTGGCAGTTGATCCCTTGGTGAGGTCGACATTGCCATATTTAATAAGATTAAAGCTTTAAAACTGCACTCTTCAGCTATACCGTTAGAAAATTCACACCAAATTTTACGTATTGGTGTCAAAACAATTTAATCTCAACTTTTCCAATACATTAATAGCACTACGAGTAAGAACTTTGCTTACACCACCAGTTTCGGTTGCATCTGGCCAGCGATCCTTTTCAAAATTGAAAATAATAAAAAATTATCTCAGATCAACCAAGGCAGGCTAAGTAACTTATCTATTGTTGCAATTGAACATGAACTGTTAGACAATTTTGACAAAAAAATTGTTGCTGAATTTCCCAGTATGAAATCTAGAAACATTCATTTGGTTTAGTAAAAAAATATTTAATTACATTATTTGTATGCTTTAGGTTTTTTATTAGCAAAGTAGATATGTGTTCGATAAAGGTATTTGTTTATTCATTTTATACGAAATAAATTTTAATTTTAACGTTTTAAAGACTGGCCCTTAATTTTCCACTGATTTTAATACAATTTTTACTTAAAAAAATCTTACCTATATTGAAGAGGGGCGCTAAATTCAAACTTGCACTTGGGGCGCCAAAAGTTCTAGCGGCGGCCCTGGATTTCGGCTCCGTTTTTCAGCAGGCATTCGACAACTTTTTCGTGACCTTTCCAGGAAGCTGCGTAAAGCGGTGTTTCACCATATCTATCAGAGCGATTGATTTCGGCTCCGCATTTCACCAGGCATTCGACAATTTTTTCGTGACCTTGAGAGGAAGCTGCGTGAAGCGGTGTCTGACCATATTCATTAGGGCTATTGATTTCGGCTCCACGTTTCACCAGGCATTCGACAATTTTTTCGTGACCTTGAGAGGAAGCTGCGTGAAGCGGTGTCTGACCATATTTATTAGCGTGATTGATTTCGGCTCCCCATTTCACCAGGCATTCAACAATTTTTTCGTGACCTTTCCAGGAAGCTGCACAAAGCGGTGTAGAACCATCATTATCAACGCTATCGATTGCGGCTCCGCCTTTCACCAGGCATTCGACAATTTTTTCGTGACCTTTCCAGGAAGCTGCGTAAAGCGGTGTGGAACCATCATCATCAGCGCTATTGATTTCGGCTCCGCATTTCACCAGGAATTCGACAATTTTTTCGTGCCCTTGAGAGGAAGTTGCGTAAAGCGGTGTCTTACCATATTCATCAGCGCTATTGATTTCGACTCCGCATTTCACCAGGAATTCGACAATTTGTTCGTGACCTTTCCAGGAAGCTGCGTAAAGCGGTGTCCGACCATATTTATCAGCGTGATTGGTTTCGGCTCCGCAGTTCACCAGGCATTCGACAATTTGTTCGTGCCCTTGACAGGAAGCTGCGTAAAGCGGTGTGGAACCATCATTACAAGCGCGATTAATTTTGGCTTCGCATTTTACCAGGCATTCGACAATTTCTCTGTGACCTTGAGAGGAAGCTGCATTAAGCGGTGTCGAACCATAAAAATCAGCGTGATTTATTTCGGCTCCGCATTTCGCCAGGCATTCCACAATTTTTTTGTGACCTTGAGCGGAAGCTGCGTGAAGCGGTGTTCGACCATATTTATCAGCGTGATTGAGTTCGGCTCCGCATTTTACCAGGCGTTTGATAATTTTTTCGTGGCCTTCCCAGGAAGCTGCGTAAAGCGGTGTCCGACCATATTTATCAGCGTGATTGGTTTCGGCTTTGTGTTCGATCAGGCATTCGACAATTTTTCCGTAACCTTTCGAGGAAGCTGCGTAAAGCGGTGTCTCGCCACCTTCATTAGTGCGATTAATTTCGGCTCCGCATTTGACTAAATACTCTACAATTGTTAGGTGCCGCTCTCGAGAAGCTATTATAAGAGGCGTACTACGATCGAATTTAATACTAAAATTTACTGCTTTTTTACTCCAACGTGAAAATATTTTTTTGTTAACAAACATTTTAAATACTTCTGCGTATCCGTGCAAAGCGGCGAAAAATAAAATATTAATTTTGTCTGTTGGACTATACGAATCTTTCAGTTGTAGTTTGCCTGATTCTAATAATTCCAGTTCCGCTCCCAAACTTTCACTTTCTTGTGCCCATGCTAAGGGTGTGATTTTATGTAAAACATCTTTTTCTAATATTTCGCAATTTTCTAACAAAAACAATAACGCTTTAAAATATTTTTTCGTTTCTAATGAACTACTCATAATCTTCCTATTTGCTTCAATAATATAACCCTTAGATTCGATTTTCACATTTAAACGCCCATGTCTTCGTCCCCAAGAACAAATGAGATGTAAGGCACTTCTTCCAC